AGAGCAGGGTCTAAGGCTGTTGTGCATAGGGTCGCTATGAGTCGCAAACGACTCGACGGCACATAACAACAACAACAACAACAACCTGCTACATCAAGTTGAGTTGCTTGCTACATGAGATCAAGGGCTTCAACAGGGATTAAAAAAAATAGTGTTAATAATTTAATTGGTAAAAGGCCCTGACTGTCTTCTGGGATGATGGATGTATTCTGTCTTCATGAGACAGACAGCATACATATTATTATTTTACATTAAAACTGATGTAACTGTGCTCTTAAAAAAACCCCCAATAACCCAAAACCAAACATTCTCATCATTAGGCCAATAAATAATATCATGATAGATGGAAATAATGTTGAAATTGTCAATTATTTTATCTCATTTGAATCCACAATCAACTTCCTTGGTACCAGCAGTCGGGGTAATAAAAGACATATAGCACGGGGAACAAGACTGTGTCACCTGCATAAAGCAAGTTAAAGATGAATCTTCCTCTGATCCTGATACCACATTCTTCTTCAAAAGGTCAAGTTTCTCGAATAATTTGCACATCATGCATATTGAATAGGTATATACAGAGGCAGCACTCACATGACACAACCTTGCTTGCTGAAAGTGATGAGGACTTGAAGCACTTGCTGCAGAAGTTCAAAGAATGCAGCCTTCACTATGGATTGCATCTCAACATCAAGAAAGCAAAAATCATTACCACTGGATGGTAATGCAGCATCATGGTAGATGAAGAACAGACTGAAACTGTCTCTAACTCTTCATCTTATTTGGATCAACAATCAACATCTTTGTTTCCAACAGTTGGGAGATTAGGAGACCCTATTGCCCTGGAAAAGTTTGCCTTTAGGGATCTCTCCAACTTATTGAGGGGCAATGGTGTTTGAGGATGAAGGTACACCTGATTCAGGCCATGGTCTTTTCAGTCACTTGCAATCCATCTCAGAGATGGGCTATGAATAAGAATGACAGAAGAATTGATGCCTTTAAGCTGTAGCGTTGGAGAAAAGTGCTGAATATCTCGTGGACAGCCAAAAGAACAAACAGATATGTTTCAGAGAAAGTGCAGCCAGAGTGCTACTTAGAAGCAAAGTTGAAAAAGTCTTACATACTTCAGACATGTTGCTAGCAGAGTCTCTTCCTTGGAGAGGCACACGATGCTTGAAATGCTGGAGGGTTGGTGAAAAAAAGGAAGACCCTCAACCAGATGGATTGACACAATGACTGCTGCAGTGGGTTCAGGAGTGTCAGAAAGTGGGAGGATGACATAGTATAGGACGGACTTCAAATCAGTTGTTCATAGGGTCGCTATGGGTTTTAGTCAATATGACAGCATCTCACAACAATAGTGTTGCTCTTGAGTACCATCAAGTCAGATCTGATCTAGCTTATCCTTTCTCCATTGGCTTTTCAGAGGCAGTAAATTGCATAAGAGGAGATTGCCCATTTGGGGGGGAAATTTTGTTGTCAGGGACCTCTCCAAATTACTGAGGTGCAATGATGTAGGTTTAAAGACTAAGATGTGCCTGATTAAAGCCGTGGTCTTTTTTGTTTGTTTGTTTGTTTGTTTGTTTGTTTCAAGAACAGAGCACCAGAAACTTAAAGTATCAAATGTACTTCAATTGATCTACAAGTAAACTGCAGAGCACAAATCTGTAAGTTTTGCTCTTAATCTGCTAAGGCTTCATTTTGGACAGCTTGAGGAACCAGGTTAATGGGTTATTTTCATTATATCAATCGCAGTATTAGGATAAACAAGATGTTAACATCTGTTTGGATCCAAAGCTTGACTGATATCCATAGACTGCCTCTTACGTTCCGTATTTCTTCTTCAGCTCCTCCACTTTGTCTACGTAAGCTTTCATGGCTTCTTCTTTGGAGGTTCCTTTTAGCTCACTCCAGGCATCCCACTTGGCCTTCCCTTTGAAGTCCAACATTCCAGGCCGTTCTGTGTTTATGTCGCCCATGGCTGCTTGTTTGTACCGGCTGTAGATGAACAACATCTCATCATCAGCTGGCTTGGTCTTGAGGTGCTTAACTTCTTCAGCAGCTTTGTCAAACTCAGCCTGAGACATGCTGCGTTCTGCAGAGGACCCCAGAGCCGGCGGGACGACAAGGAGCTCTAGCTGTGGTTTTTTAATCACCTGCTACACAACTGAGAGATGGACAGTGAATAAGGATGACAGAAGAACTGACACCGTTGAGTGGTGGTGTTTCAATACTGGCTTTCACAAGATAGCGCTCTTATCTCACGAGACCAAATAGTTACATCTTGAAGAAAGTATAGCTGGAGTCTCCTTAGAGGCAAAAACGGTGATGCTTCATTTTACCTACTTTGTACATGTTAGGAGGGGCAGTTCTTTAGAAAAGGACATCTTGCTTGGTAAGGTAGAGGATTAGCAAAAGAGAGCAAGACAAAAGATGGCCTGATACAATGACTGTGGCAATGGGCTCAAGTTTGTCAGAGATGTTAAGGACGGCATGCCACAGAAGAGGTTTCAGATCTGCTGTTTATAGGGTAGTTATGATTCATATTTGGCATGATGGCATGCAACAACTACTACTTTCTACATTAGCACCAAGCAGGTGCTACTCTGCATCTGATATTTTGAATTCCCAAAAGTTTGCGTAGCCATGAATGAGTGACTCATTGGGACACAGAGAGCATATTTAATTGTCCCCAGGAGCCACTGTTTCCTGGTGAATACACCAGGTAGCTGCACCTTCTGCAAGCATGACTAACTCTTCAAAGACTGACCTTGAACTCAAGCCCTAACAAAGAACATGAACGTCACTACCATGATTTAAGGAAACCTGTCATTTTAAAGCCTAGACAAAAATGTCCCTAAACATTTGGATGGCATTCGTCTCAGTATTGAAGCATTATCTGTGTATTTGCTCCCTGTATCCAGCCCTCTGAAATTTGAACAGTGAATAAAAATGACGGAAGACTTGATGTCTCTGAATTGTAATGTTGGTGAGGAGTATTAAATGTACCATAGACTGCCAAAAGAACAATACATCTCTCATGGAGGAAGTGCAATCAGAGTGTTCTCAGAGGCAAAGGTAGCGAAACCTCACTTTATATGCTTGAAGTATGTTTTCAGAAGAGGTCAAGCCTTGGATGAAAGCATCATATTGAGAAAACTAGAAGATTAGCAAGAGAGGAAGAGATTCACAAAGAGGGGCTGACGCGGTGCCTTTACCAATTGATTTCAGTGTAGCAGGGATGATGATGATGGCACAGGATAGAGCAAGGCTCTGATTTGCTGTTCAGAGAGTCGCTGTGAGTTGTAATTGGCTGGAAGATGCCTAAAACAACATCTAGTCCTTGTAATGTGTGACACCAAGTCTACCCCTGGAGCTATGTAGAAACACAGGGTTTGGAGACAGACCATCCACCACATACAAACACAGGGTTTGAGGACCATCCAGTTGCCACAAGACACATCTCTAAATTAAGTCTCCTGAAACTTTTATCCAGCATTATAAACACCAAAAGGGTGCCCTGCAGTTATTTGAGAACTTTGATGATAGTAAAATAAGTGACTCCTTAACTGCTTTCTCAAAACAAACAAACAGCTCTTTGCCATTGCGAACAAAGCTGCAATAAGCATGGGAGTGCATATATCTGCTTGAGTGGCAGTTCTGGTTTCTTTAGGGTAAATTCCCAGTAGTGGATTTGCTGGGTCAAATGGTATTTCTATTTGCAACTTTCTAAGAAAGCCCTATACCGCCTTCCATAGTGGTTACACCATTTTACACTCCCACCAACAGTGAATAAAGGTTCCAGTTTCTCCACAACCTCGCCAGCATTTGATGTTTGCTGTTCTGTTAAATTTTGTTATTCTTACTCAGGTGAGATGATATCTCACAGTTGTTTTGATTTGCATTTCTCTTAGAGCTAGGGATTTTGGACATTTCTTCATGTGCTTGGTGGCTATCTGCATGCCTTCTTTGGTGAAGTGTCTGTTCATATCCTGTGCCCATTTTTTAATTGGGTCTGGTACATTCACACAATGTAATACTATACAGCATTGAAAAACAAGGAACTCATGAAATATTATGTGAAATGGATGACCCTGGAGGACATTATGCTGAGTGAAATATCTCAGTCACAAAAGGACAAATATTGCATAGGGCCACTGTTGTAAAACGGTGCTGACATCAGGGTTGAGGGAAGACGGAAAAGATGGGGAGGAATGATGTATATGCATTGAAACAGGTTAGGGAGAGATCTATTTAAAAGGTATATATGAGTGGTATTCTCATCATTACAGAAGTCCAGAATGAAGGCTGCATAGTGGAGTGAACTTGGGGGGAGGGATTGCATAACAATGAAAGAGATTTTCTTTTCAAGGAGAAGAATGAATTTGGGGGTTGAGGTTGGGCAGGGTGAAAGTGCAACAATGAATGGCTGGAAATCCTAAGTCTCTGTAAACTTTCATTAAAATTAATAAATAAAAAAAGGAAAAAAGAAACAAACAAAAACCACTCATCCTTCACAACTCCTTTTAGCATTCATAGCAGATAGAGAAACTACTAGAACACAAGTTGTCTCCTGAGAACGTAAGCTGTTTCCTGGGTTCCTCATGCCGTGTTGTTCCCTGAAAACTCACTCTGGCCTGACACGGAACTGATGATCTTGCCAGAAAAAAACATACTCCTCCAGGAGCTGTGTGTCGGGGTAACCCTGCTTCTTTCAGGGTTTGGATGTCAAGTCTGTTCAGCTTGATTTTCCTCAGTTTTCAAAGGTTGGTAAACACTTTCATTCCCACAAGAATAATTTTAGATGCCTATTAACATTTATTAAAAGCAAAACTTTTGACAAGAACTACAGAGCAGGCGCATGATATGCAGTAGGGGGGCGGCTTGTGAATATTGGAGTTGGCAGCGAGACCGTGTGTGGGTAGCTGCTATTTGCCCTGTGTTTTTCTCCTTTGTGTTAGTACCGAATGTCTGTGATGCTGTAGAGGGTTTTAGATGTGCACACAAACACTGCGTTTATTTTGAGAAAAAAAAGGAAATTGCCCTCTTCCAATGAAAGCTTAGCCTTCTTATGAATGCAGTAATGTCTTGGACTTTGTCTGATAATTTAAACTTCTTGATTATTCAACAGAATTAATAAAGTCTCTGCCAGTGAAGAAGGACATTGTTAAGAAAATAATGATGCATATAAATTTGAAAGATTAAGATAGCAATTCTTTTTCAAGTTCCCTCCAGCATATTCAAATGATCCAATTTATGTCAACAACTGATACACGGTGGCTAAAAGAAGAAATTATAGTTGTTTGTTAAAATACCAACAAAAGCAACTTCAATTTATTTAAAATATTCAACAATTCAAACTCTCCATTAATTTCCTTAATTAGATTCTACTGACTGTACCCACATGCACCCGTAGTCACACCTACACAGAGGCACATCTTTGCCTGAAGAAAGACTTTGGAAACCTTTAACTTAGGGTGTTTATTGAATTCAATCAGGACCGCCTGCTTAAAACAATTACGCTACTGTCTTTTTGTCACTTCTGAAATTACCCTCCTCCTTTACTCTAGGTACAGCTCCCTACGCCTGTTGTTGGGTGACAGGATACACTTCATCCTTGTGAATTTCTTTGGAAGTGACGTCTTCTCTTTACTCTGTACTTCATACGGGCCAAGCACAGTGTTAGCTATAGTAATAGAGTGCGGGAATGGTGAATTGCGGAAGCTCTAAATAATGATAAACCGTCAGGGTGGCAGGTGTATTAAAAGGCTATATGCAGATTTCAGTGGCGGTAGCTAAACGCTGCCTGGTATAAGGGAGATGGAATCGGGATGAGATGTAATCAGAAGATGAGCGTGAAGCTTTGCCAGCGCAAGTTCACCTCATACTTAATCCTGAGTCTCAATTTCATGGACTACGGTTTCTTGGAGTTCAGATGAATTGCTGGAGCATCTTGCTGCAGTGCACAATTACCATCCTGCTATTCCCATCTGCCCTGTTAGATAGCTAAGTAGTGGTGAGGGATTTGCAAGGTTAAGATGGCCCACTGAATCTTGCCTTTCACAGACAAGCGCGTGCTGGGAGTGCCTATTTGGCAGATAGAGAATTCGGGTTCATGAGACACTGATGAGTGATTTAAGGACTAACTAGCTGTGACACAGATGCCTAAGGTGGAAACCCAAGAAAGGGTTAGAAAAATGTACACAGTAGTAGTAAACAGCAAAAGACAGCTGTCAATGGGACCATCAGAGAGCAAATACTATGAAGAAGAAAAAGAAGAAGAAGAAGAAGAAGAAGAAGAAGAAGAAGAAGAAGAAGAAGAAGAAGAAGAAGAAGAAGAAGAAGAAAGAAAGAAAGAAAGAAAATATTTTCTATAGCTAAATGGACCCCCTTCAATATGGATTGAGGCTCATTATCAAGACAAAGATTCTCCCAACTGAGCCAACTGGCAGCATCAGGATGGATGGTGAAGAGATAGAAACGGTAAAGAGCTTTAGTTTGCTTGGCTCCACAGTCAACACTCTCAGCACCAGTAGCCAGGAAATTAAAAGATGTATTGAGATGGGAAAGTCTGCTGTTAGGGACCTCTCCAAAGTACTGAAGAGCAATGGTGTCACTCTGGAGACTAAGGTACACCCAATACAGGTCATGGTCTTTGTAATCACTTGCTATGCATCAAAGAGCTGGACAATGACTAGGGATGACAGAAGGAGAATTGATGCCTTTGAGCTGTGGTGTTGGAGAAGAGTATTGAGTGTACCATGGACTGCCAAGAAAATGAACAGGTTCATCCTAGAGAGGTTTAAAGCAGGCTGCTCCTTGGAGGCAAGGATTCTGAAGCTTTGTCAGACATACTTCGGACATGTTGCAAGGAGAAACCAGTTCTTGGAGAAGGAAATCATGCCTGGGTGGGTGGAGGGACAGCACAGGACAGGAAGACCCTCTGTGAGGTGGATGATTCAGTGATTGGAGTAATGGGGTTAGATGTGTTAGAGACAGTGAGATTGGCACAGGGCAGAACAGGGTTTAGGGCTATTGTACATAGGGTCATTATGAGTCACAGGCAACTCGACAGCACATAACAACAACAACAATAATAACAAATGGACTACTGGGGACAGCATCTGCG